TTTCTGGGTGCCCTGGACTGACATGAGATGAACACCTCTGATTTCAGTAGTTCTTACAATCTAGGCAAAACAGAGCTATGAAGAGGTCAGCATAGGAAATCACCATCAGCTCCTCAGCCCCACTGCTGTTGGAGCTTCTGAGCACAACTTGAATCCTGGTCTTCCAGAAACATTTTTTTTTGCTTGAATTTGTCATCATATACTCTGTATGATGGAGAGACTTGGGTTTTAGAAAAAAGCTCCACAATTTTGAACGATAAATGTCACATTTGCATAATTCCTTTTTTTCTTCTATCTTTTTCAACTTCTCTCCATCCCACTGAACCTGTGAAGATCAGTAAAATTTTGCCATTGTTATTGACAAAAGGAGAGCAGGAACAAAGGAATGAAAAGAAAGTAGGAGACAACGTGGGGCTAAATATCCTGATCAAAACCACTTTTGTCATTTGGGCATCAATTTTTACAACTAATTTGGCACAGCATCACTAAGCGAGCTGCCTGCAAAGACATGAGATGATTTGGGAGTGAGAAATAAGTCTGCAGGCTTCCTGTGCGTGGGCTGAGCCCGTGCAGCCGGGTACATTGCTGTCTGCCTGAGCTCATCTTTGTTTTCTCTTCACCATTCTGGGGCTTGCAGGACCAGTGCTCTGCAGCAGTGGGTTTATTGCTGTGTTGATTTGTAACCCGTGAATGTTTCCAATGAGATGTGTCTAATTTATTGGCATAAACCATTAGATTTTCCTTCAGTCTACTGGAGTTTCTGATTCACCAGCTGAAAACTATTATCACAGAGCACATAATCACTTGGAAAGTGCCTCTGTCTTCTCTTTTTTTTGTGTGTTAAATTTAACCACATAAATAGCATTTTTATAGCACAAAATAGGCCAAAAAAGGTACCAGATGTTCTGTATTTCTGTTTTGTTTTTCCCTTAGGGAAGTTTGGTCAGTAGTGATGCTCACAGCTGATGTGAACCTTGGGCACTGTCTGTGAACTTCCCTCATAACACTTCTGCAAGAAGCTCCAACCCTCTGAACAGTTTCAAGAGCACAGGCTGGGCTTGGCACTGTGACAATTTCAGCTGGAAATACATTTTCATCATAGTAATGTTTGGTGAGAGTGCAAGGGCTTTGCAAGCATCTTGTTAGATACAATTCTGGCAACTGCAAGAGGAGCAAAGAGTCCAGATTGTTCCCAGAACCAGGATAGAGGATTTCTTGGCCCAGTGCTGCTGCTGCCTGCCTTCATCTGAATATATTTCTAATCTACCCTCTGCTATTTTATATGTGTATTTTAATTGGTTTCTAGTCTGACAGGAGGATCAGGCTCATTACAGTTTTCAGTAGCTAAAAACTCTTGCCTCTCCAAGCCTTCCTTATTTCCCCCTTCTGTGAACAGCAGTGGCCTTACCTTTAGCACAGATCCTTGATGTTCCGGGCATCAGCTTAGATTCACACCTTGTTTTAGGCTTTCCCCCTGAACTTGGGGCACAACTTCATGCTGGGTCAGTCACACTGCTCTTCTTCAACATTCACACAAATAAAACTCCTGCTCGTGGATATAACCCATTTTCAACCTGTGTTCTGCCTGTAAGGGAGGAGTTTGGTAGAAAACTTCCAAGGGCCACACGAAAAATGAGTGAAGAAAAGGAAGTTTGTGCCTACACTCTGCAACAGCTTGAATAAGGGAAATATTAAGAAATGCACAACTGATGGCACATTTTTAGGAACCTACCTATCAAGAAGATTGAAAGACACTTTGATAATATTACAAACTGCATTGTGGTCGTGTCTGAAATTCTGGTAATAGTCTACTTTTTTTAGTAATATAGTAATTGCACATCTCAATGGAATGCTACTCAGGAATAATGATCTTATCAAGACAAGGGAATATAGATTGTAGTAAAGGTTATGATGGTTTCTCTGAGAGGCTTAACATTGATCCTTTTAGCTATCTGATTTTCCAGGAGAGGAAAAAAACCCCCTAACTACTTTGAGTTTAGCATGTGATTTGGTGTGAAAATTCTTATGGGTGGTTTTAGAAGATGGAACTTGAAGTAAATTTGCTAAACTGCTTTTTCTCTCTCTCTTGTTTGATGAATACTTTCAAAAAGAAATGGATTTTTTTTTATATTTCCCACACATTTTCTGCTTTTCTCAGTTCTTTTATTTTTTTTTTCTTCTAATGCAATTCAAAACTGCTAGAGAAATCAAAAGTAAAAATCCGTTATGTTGAAAAGGCCACGTTGTGAAATACATCATAAACATGCTGTTAGAGCAGTGTCTCCTAATTAATGGAGAAAGCTTCTGGGGAACAGCAAGCCTGTAACACAGCTCAGCCCCCTTTGATCCTCTGGTGAGTTTGTAAAATCGTTGCCCGCCTAAACTTGTCTGCAGCTTGTTACACATTTTATCCATCTGCTGCAAGAGCAAAAATAAACCATTTATAATTCAGCTGAACTCCAGTTGTTCAGCATATCACTGACTGTGGAGTCTTTAGTAAGAGGATGGTAGGAAAAGCAAAGCAAAGGTGAAACAAAGTCAGGCACCCTGGAAAATACATTGCTTTTGTCTCTTGAGATTATGTAGGCACTGGGTTGCAAGTTGCAGGTGTCACTGCAAAGTGGTTTAGATATTTTTGTGAAATACACATCAGTGTCTTTCTATTGTCTATAAACTGAAATCAAACCACTTGTTGGGGTTTCTAGGATTCAATTAAATGTCCTAGTCTTGAGTAGAGTTGTGCATGTGTATACTTGTGTATGTGTCATGTTTCCCCACAGCATACAGGCAACTACTGGGTATATGAAAATTCAAGTTCTATTTGCTGCTTCAGTAACTGAGTGACCACATGCAAGCCCTGCAGGTGGGTCTAGATCACTGCTTGACTTCCCTTACTGAAGCAAAATCTTGCCTTGAAAAGTCCCTCCATCTTCATCTTTATGGTTGTGGTACCAACCTCCCTGTGTCAGTCTGTGATGCAGCCAGCCACGGCATCCAGAAGTGGGGTAGCTCTGTTGGACCAATAGGTGTTAGCTCCAAAATCTGATAACAAGAGGAGCTAATTATTCCCCATGCAAATATCACAGGGCTATGTTCTGTTGATTTTTAGAACAGATGAGCACTTCATTTCAGCACCCATATGTTTCATCTCCATCAGTTAACTATCACTTCTGGATGCCTGCATCCCTCTGTGGGTTCTTGCTGCCATGGATCTTGCTGCTGAGAGGGAGAGCACTGTGAAGTTCTCCTTTCATCAGAAACCAGAGATTCATTGCTCTTGCCTGTAAAAAATGGTCAGGTTAAAAATGCATGCAGTATCTAGCACTTACCCACCAGAGTTCTTCCATGCCTGGGAGAATCTCACTGTTAAAATACCATCTCTTCCCAGTGACTTCTCTGGTGCTGTGATTTACCAGCAGCCAATCCACATTATGCAGCAAATGGGTTGTTTGCAGCCTGTGATCTCTTTTGGTCTGTGAGAAAATCAGTTGCACATAGCAGAGAGGCTTTGCCAAGGGCAGGGCTGGAAAGAGGAGAGTCAGTGAAGGGAACAGCTCACCTGGGAGGTGAGGCTACAGCACTGTCTGTTCCTTGCCAAAGATTTAATGTGTGGCAGGGAGCTTTACCTGGATCCCAGGGGCTGAGCTGAGGGCTGGAGGCTGCCAGATGGATGCTGGAACAGTGTGTGCCCTGAGCCCAGGGAGTTTATGACAGCCACAGCTTTTAAAATGCCTTTAGTAACCCACATTCATTTATTACCCTTGTTAGGGCTGCAATTCTTTGCACATGCTGAAGCTAACAATAAACCTGTTGGAAGTGTCTGCAGCATAAATCAACATCACTGAACAAAATTATTTGGCACAGGTGTTTTAAGAGCTAAAGTCTTCTTAAGTCACTGATCTCATGAAAAAAGAGCTGCTCACCAAGCAAAATGGGATCTCCTTAGTCCATGTTCCATTTAAAGATCCCCAACACTGAGATTCCCACTACATTTCTCTGGAGATCATTTCACAAGGTAATACACATTGCTGCTGAGCTTATTTTCCTGCTGTTACACTGTATTTACCCTTTTATACTTTGATTGCTTTTAGACGTCTCAATTCAGCAAGACATTTATATTTATTTTGAAGCTTCTTTTTAGTTGTCTTTTAGTCTAAAATCTGTACCTATTTAATTCTTTTTTCCTAAACCCATCATCCTATTTGTAGGTTTCTCCTTCTCAGAGTTCCTAAAAGAATATCTGTCTTGTGATACTGTGGGAAGATGTATATTGGGCAAAAAGACATGCTAACTTTCTGCAAGTTACATTTTTATTTAGAGTTTAGATGAATTTTGAGAAAGAATCATCTTGAGATGACATCAGTGCTTTTGTTAACTTGCTTCTGTTCCCAGTAATTTCATACCTATAATATTACACCTCCTCTGTTTGGCTTTTTTTTTCCATTTCTGTGAATGGCAAAACAGCTCTGGGCTATGGGCAGAGAGAGTTTCTTCATAGCTTTTCTGGAACAAAGCATTTGAGATGCTTGTCTGCCATGGCCTGGTACTGCAAGTTTTAGGCCTGTCATTTTCATAATTCAAAACATAATTCTCCCCAGATACTCCTCCCTTCAGTTTTCTCACCTGGTCATGCTAATGCTAAGGAAATTTGGGCCAGGAGGTTGAGATTTTTGATTACAGGTTGTTTTGTAGCTTTTTTCCCCCAGGTCTGTTGACAGCTGTAACCAGAGTGTGTGCACTTCTAAAAGTTACTTGTGTTCCAAGGTTCCATGTTCTTATTTTTACCTAAGGTTTAGCAATTGAATAAAAGCTTTCCAGAACTCTGCAGGAATATGTGCAATTTATCCATCATTTCTGGATTTCTAGTGATATTCTCAATGGATAGAAGTGATTTTTTCCATTTCCCCCTCTCAGTTCTAGTCATCTTACATAGATAGTGTGTCGACAGGTGTTGATGGACAAGCAATTTACAGTAATTTCTTATGGTGCTTATTCTGCAGCTCCCTGAATTGTAAGAGACACTCTGGCAAAGCTGAACAACTGATCACCAGACACTAGCACAGCGTTAACCATGGCTTCTGAGGCTCCTCAGAATTTCCTCCAGCCACTGTCTTCTTGGATGTCTCAAATATATGAAGCCATCCAACAAGCAGGAGACTCCATATCTGCCTCTCTGCTGAATTTGAGTGGAGTGGGTCGTAAGCCAGAAGGAGAAAGGACCCAGGACTTGGAGAATAATGGAGGCGTTTATGAGGATTATTCTGAGGAATCAGGTGATGAACGAGACCTGGACCTTTGGGATGAGGACTATTTCTATCCTAGAGAAGACAGTTACATTGGAGGCCCTGGTCTTGCATCACAAAACCTCCCTCACAGCTCTGACACGGGTCCACAGAGGCAAAACCGGGTTAAAACCACCAGCACCTTGCCAGAACAGTGTGTTGAGAGCAGCAGGACCTTGACATCCAATGGATCCTACTGGATGAGTGAAGATCTCCAGCCTCTTGATCGACTTCCTCCCATTGCTGAGGAAGAAGGTGAGCCCTCTTGGAGGATGGGAGGGCATGAGCACAGCCTCAGCTTGGGTGGCTCCTTAAACAGTGCTAATGGCACTGCACGCTGTGCAGGTAAGCAGCTGGCACACACCCTGACTGCATTTTTCAGGCCTTTCTTTTCTGCTGTTGATTTGATTTCGTTGCTAATCTGCTCAGTATGTTCTGTATTGTCTCTGCTTCCCACAGCTAAAATAAAACTCCCCAAATCCCAAAGAAAAATCTAACCTTTCCAATTCTTCCCTCATTTGTGAGACTAATCTCATTGAAAGAATTGGAGATCTCCAGGGTGAAATGCTGTGTATTAGAAGGTAATCAGGCCCTGCTGGTGTAGCAAGGAGTGTTTTGCTTCCCTCCCTGTTTAGTTTCTGGTAGCAGGACCCTTCAAAGGGAATGTTTAGCCTTAAGCCTTTGCTTTGAGAACCATCTGCCTTTGCGTCATTGCTATTAAAGATATATATATATATATATATATGTAATCTCAAACCTTGTTTCTTTGTGCCAGGAATCTCAAGATGTTACTGTGCCATGTGCTGTGAAATGCTGTGCTAAAAAGCCAGCCGTATCTCATGATTTTATGGATGAAAGGCTCCCAAATCACTTTCCTCCCCTCCCACCGCCCCCACAGGCTTTTCAAACAAGACTGAAGAGACAGCAGGCAGGAGATTACGGGAAGGAGAACTGATTTTGATATTTTCAGTTTTAAATAGGCCTAACTATGACTTGTGATCTCTGAATGACAGCAGGAGTGTTTTCAGGGGACTGTGCCCAGGACTGAGTTTCAGCCACATGACTTCTGCTCACTCAGTGTCACCACAAGTGTGGATGTTTCCTGGGTCACAGAGGTCTTATGGAGATGTAGGTCCTGACTACACCTAAGAAAGTTGCAATCCTGCTGACACCATCCTTGGGTCTTGTTGGCACAAAGCTGCTCTTTACAAACATCCTAGGAATGGGGATGAGGGTGGAAAGAGGACAGGGGGGACTGGGCTCTACAATATGGAGCTGATGAGGAACTGGAGACTCACTGAGGATCTACAGAATTTGGCTTCAAATACCTAATTTTTTTTTTTTTTTTTAAGCAGGTGGCAAATGCTCTTGAAAATGTCTGTTTTATTATGACCAGGAGCTTTTCTTCACTCTTGGCTTCTGGGGAAGTCTTACATATTTAGCCTTTTCCAGACTGTGGGAGATCAGCCTGTTTGTTTTCGTATTTAACAGGAATATCAGACTGAGAGGGTATAAACCTTGATGGTGCTCTTTAATGACTGTAAAATTAGCTCTTTCTTTATTGCTATTTCTCACTCTGTTATGGCCAGGGAGTAAGTAATTAAAAAGCTCTTTTGGTCTAGCTGTTTTGCCTCCCAAACCGGGATTGCTTCTTTCACATTCCAAATGAAAGATTGCCAGTTCTCAGATTAAAGATCTCAGAGTTGTGTCTCTTGGAGCCCAACCCCTCCCTTCTGGTACCCCTATACATTGCCTGTGCAATATCCAGCCCCCAGGGTTTGTCCAGGGGCACTGAGCCAGTGCTGCAGGGCTGGGTTTGTGTGTGTGCTTGGCTTGTGTGACCAGTGTGTGCACAGAAGCCATGGAGCAGGGCACAGAGTGCCCATCCAGCCAGGGAGTGCTGGGGCTGTGGATCCTCTTGGACAAGTGCTGTCCTAGGGCACAACCCTGTCTCCTGCAGAGCCTGCAGCCCTGTGCCTCAGGGGGGCTGTTGGAGCAATTCACAGCAAATCCTGGGCTCAGCCCGGTGCCAAAGGCATCATTCCCAGGCAGCCTCCTGTCCCTGGGCCACAGGACCTTTGCTCACAGTGGGTGGGAGGAAAGCTGGTGAGCTCTCAGGGAAATGGGGCCCAGGAACGAGCTGCTGTCCTGGCCAGAGCTCTTTGTCACCTGCAGGGACCTCTGAGGAAGAGGGTTCTGAGGAGTGGGAGGTGGACCAGATGGAGTTTCCTGGTGAGAGACTTAGTGACAGACAGATGCCAGAGTGACCCATCCCTGCAGCTAAGGGGAAGGGTCCCTCTGGACATCTTTCCCAGATGAGAACAGGTCCTGGTCAAGTTGCTCTCTCCATATTTTTTGGCTTTCCTTCTCCCTAACTTTCCTGGAGCCACTGTTGGCTGGAAGGCTTGTCCCATGGAGCTCCCACCACCTACAGTGCTGCTTCCTAGAGCTCTCCACACCAGGCACTTCAGGGAGCATTGCACAGCTTTTTGCACCTTTGGGAATGTCATTCCAAATGGTCTCAGACAGACTTTAATCTTTTTTATCTCTGCAATGTGCTCCACAAAGGGCCATCCAATGGTCCCAAGACTTCATAGTCACAAAAGTTGGCTCTTTGAGGGTTAGAGGGCTGGGAACTGATACCTCTTTCTCTCAGAACTAAGCTGTAAGACGGGAGAGAAAGTGCTGAACTGTGATTTGAAAATGTCTTCCACAGACCCTTTGATGTGGAAGAACTCGTTTTGCTCTTCTAAGTGAACTTTCACTTCCAAAACACACATGCTCTTTGTGTTTTATTTTTCAGCTCTTTATTTCCTCTCTTTCCTTTAGATTCATTCTCTAACATCAAGAGTGTGAACTCTTCTGATGGTAACCTAGACATGCAGAGAGGCTGTAATACCCTGGCAACTTAAAATTTCAGTCATGGATTAAAATGATCAAGAGAAGATGTTCGAGGTATCCTTATTTCTGTTAGCTTTTTACCTAACCCTAAGTGATAATATAAGTGAAACATGGACTTGCTGACATTCAGCAAAGCTGTTCAGTAGCATCAAAATGAGCTTTGAACATTTTTCCTTCCATTTGGCAGGTTCCCCCCCCACCATTTCTGCAAAATACGTATTTCCTGTTTATCCTTGTATTCTTTCCAGAACATTGCATCTTGACTTTATTTCACTTAATGTACCATATTTCTCTCCACAATAGAATATTTTAAAGCTAAATTGGCACAAAACAGTAGCAATGCTGAATGCTTTTTGTTGCCATGGAAATATTTCTGGGCACTTACTGAAGACCTGGTTGCCAATAGTAATCTAACAGAGAAAATAGATATGCTTCATTTAGCAGCCACTGGTGATTAAAGATCCACAGAACCTGTTACAAGGTCATTCCAATATATAGTTTATTTAGTTTAGGGGAAAAAGCCCTGCAGCCCTAGGTGAGAATAATTTTGTTTTAAAAGAGATGCAAAACAAAATTCAGTAGATGTTCCCTTCTCTTAAACTGACAGCATGCTTCTGCGATGAAACAAAATAACACTGTCGTTAAAAACCATCATTACTCCTTCTCCTTTTTATCAAATATGTTTTTGATCCTATTTTTGCCTCTTAGGAAATGTTTCCTGGCTCCCAGAGTAGATTTTCTTAGGCTCTGAAGCAGCACATATATTACTGAAAACCTATTTTAGGCTTAGGGATCTAATAAATTGTTTGAGCAATGAAATTCTTGGGTTTTTAAGTCAAATGTCCATCAGACACCATGAGGCAGGTTAATCACAAGGTGCAGGTTTGGCTGCTGCCCAGTGTTGCTCCGTAATGAAATGATGGTAGTAGAGTTTTAGCAAGTTTTCAAATCAATGCAAGAAAAAGTGGAGGGTTTTTTGTTGGGTTTTTTTTTTTTTTTTTCCCACTTTGTATACTTTTGATCCACAGTTAATACTGAGAAGGTAGCCCAGCAGGAAATATTGCAGTGCCAGGTGTTTGGCTTAAGAAGTTAATGATGGCAAGGCAGAGCCTTCTGTGTATGCAGATTGCTGTCACCAGTGGCAAATCGTGTAGTTGTGAATTTTGCAGAAACAGATGAACTTTCTCTCTCAGACCCTTGTCCACTGTTTAACCTCAGTGTTTGTGACAGAGGAACTGCCTCAGCACAGAGCAGGGAGGGAGCAGCCTTTGCATCCCCCCGTGGCTGAGACGCCGCTGCTCAGCTGACTGGGGGTGGCTGGCAAGAGCGTGGCTGCCAGATCCATCACTGCACAGTTGCCTTAAGAATTGAAAAAAAAATCCAAACCAACAGACAGTGGAGCAAGAAACCACATCTGAAAGTAGTGCACTGCAAGTAGAAGGGTAGAGGTGGCCGGTGATTCTGATTCCCAGCATGATCTAAAGGGGAAAAGACCAGCAATAATGAGAGAAGTGAAGAACAGCAATGACTATGCAGTGAAAGTAAGGGCTTTATCCCACTTCTCCCCCAGAGCTGTTGTCCTTTGCAAAAAATAAAAGCCAAAGTGACCATTAAATTCTGTCTCACCAGACACTGCCCTGAAAAGGCACGGGGACAGACACAGCAGCAGAGCTGAGCCTTCTGAGTGAGAGCTGAACTATTTTTGCACAAGTAGTGCTGGGGTGGAAGTCTCCCAGGCTGTCTGGCACTGCTCACAGCACTGGTGTAGTGGATAGGTGAGCACAGCACTTCCACTGTGAGAAGTCCTTAGAGATTTTTTCTCCTCCATCAACTGAGTGACCTCAGTGCCAGCTGAAGGCTGAATTTCAGTTGCACTAAAATAATTTTTGTGGCCTTGGAACACTAGGAAGTGTGACACCCCTGTCTAGATGGCTGGCTAGTTTTCCTCAGCACGTGTGTGAGGGGAAGCACACCTCTGAGGCTCTGGGAGTTTTAAAATGTAGAGAGCACTATTGCATTTACTTACTTTGGCCTCCAGTTTAACAGGAGTCATTGATTTTTGCCAGTAATTTCTGTAGTAAAGGAAATTATTCTTTCTGCTCTATATGAATGCTCCTGACCTCAGTAAATGACCCTTCATACAGGCAGGAAATCCTAGGCAAGAATGAGGTTTTCATTAGGTCCTATAAACCCATATAGCAAAGAATACCCTTAAGAAGAAGATGCTGATTATGTGATAAATTAAATTTCTGCTTGAACTTGAGACTAAAATAGATAGATGGCCAGTCTCCACACTGAGAAGTGAAGTGTTTATGAATTTTATCACCTGTCTGGGTATGGAGCCAGCCAGTGTTCTAGCCAGAATGTAACCCTATAAAAATCAGTGCCTGTACTCCAAGAAGGACATTCAAAGAGGCTACACTGAATCAATACCACCATGAAGA